CATTTGTAGCAATCTGTGAACTGCTTTTTGCCGATCCACCGTTTGTTCCATTGCTAGTGCCCAGAGATCAAAGTTGCCAGAAAGCAGTAACTTTCCCGGGATTTCTCGGAGATATTCCTGAAAAATGTGCATGTCTGGATTAATTCCGGTCAATTCATACCAAAAAAAGTTGCTTTTCATAAAAGATGAGATGGATGAAAGATACTTTAAGCAGCGCAGCAGTAACGTGCGGATTGAATTGATAGAAATCTGGAACAGAACCGCGGTCAAGCTGTGCTTTCAACATGCGCAAAGTACTCTGCTTGGGTGACTTCCGGAACAATCCTTCGACATCCACTCCGTGAAGGATTAAGTGGTCGATCATCGTCAAAACTGGCTGAGGTGGCGACGAACCTTCCAGCGGGCGTCCGAAGAAGCGCCGTGATTCGGAACGGCTGAGTACACGCCTAGAATATTCCAGATTTAAAAGCAGCACTACTGGAGCTTGCTACTGATAAGCTAAATGGAGCATTCGTTTTTTGAAAATGCAAAAAAAAAAATCAAGCGTGCCAGATACTTGAAATGAGTGACAATGGATTGCATCGATGAATGGGAGCTGCCAGCGGAGGCTAGCACAAGTCGGCACTGTATCAGCGGCAGCGTGTCGATCTTCTCCAGTTGCACTTCCGACAACCTAGAATAAGGTACCCTGATTTTAAAACAAACTCAGCTTTATAGATCAGAATAAAAAAGAACTGAAAACGTCCTTCAGATGTCATATTTTGAGAGAAGACTGGCCTACCGAAAAGTAATGCATGTGCTAGCACATGCCAAAAACAACCACCGGATGATTCTTTCCTTCGAAGGGTGCTCAAAAGCAAACTGTTGGCGGTTTTGAATTTTTGATATGCACCAATATCACAGGATTTAAGTATAAATTCCAGAAGCGTTGTATGCCAAAAATTACAACAGCGTGAGTTTACTCAGAATGGTTGATTTTCGTCTTTCCTATTTTCTCAACCAGTTTATTATCTGATTATTTATTTACTTACGTGTAATACGCTACTGCAGAGCCAAAATGGACGAAGAGATAAGCAAGACAAAAGGGCTCTTGGAGTTAAGAAAATGATGAGCTAAGATGTTTTGGTGCATTAATTCGTGAAGCCGTTAGCTCGGCATTGCAATCATCAACACGACGCTGCAGTGCAAATTTAATGCGAGTTAAGTTTTAC